ACATCATCGGAGAAGCGGTGCAAGACCATCCGACTCAGACGGTCGACCACAATGTGATGCAGAACAACTTACGTAGACTCAAAAGTTGGAGGCGTCCGTGTCTAAAAAGCAACTGGTGTTTGAAATAATAGGTTAATTTACCTAAATTTCCAATTTTCCTGGATTCCATTAATCACGTTAAAGTCGAGAGAACTGTTCTTTGTAAAGTGGAGTAAGTTAGTCTTTTGAACAAGAATCAGCCACAATATGATGTGGAGTGTCAGTGCATTCCTGTCAGAGAAATGAAAAATTGAATTTGTTATTCAATACATTGTCGCTACCTTTAATTCAAGGCCATTTACGTACATAATCTAAAATTGCGGTGATGTTACAAACTTTAACGATACTAATGAAAAAGTAATGTTGTCTAGCTATAATTTATGCCTTAAATATTAGACCTAACGAAAAAACGTGCGAACGTGCATTGCAAGGTACTTACCGCTTATCGTAATGGTTAGACGTTTTGTGTGTGAGTGACAAGAGTAAATTGGAACAATTAGACGTTGGAATACCACTCAACGTGGTTGACATAAAAGAGGAAGACATGTGGACAAAGGTAGAAGGATGGGCGAACACATTTTCCGCTCCCGCATTTATAGTGATTCCGGCATTTTTCCATTATCACGTCGCTTGATGTATCATATGTTTCATTGATTCTGACAAGCAAACGTTAATTTTTACATGTTTACGATCCATATCGGATCACACTTATTGCGTGAATGCGTCGTAAACACGCATATCGTGGTAATTGGGAAAAAAAGGAAATATAGTCCTCTGCGGGTCTTCTGTAGTTGCTGACATAACAAAAGATATATGAACCATGTCTTGGGCATACTCTTCATTGAAAATTTTCACTTAGTAATTGTGTGTGTTGCAGAGTCAAATAATAATATAACATCAGCGGAAGTATGTTCTTTCTGCTTTGTAATACTGGATTGGTTGTTAGTAGTACTTTGCTATCGTTTGTGTCCATACACAAATTAACCGTCTTACATACGATGATGTCGACATGAAAATCAAGCGTGATATTTCAGTTTTGCAGCTATGAAAATTGAGCAGCTATTTTGATACAAACGGTCAGGGGTTTGACTCAGCGAAAGCAAATACCATACAGCTTAAGACACTAGGCTGATGGTGACTTGTAATATACACATGTATAGAGTGCAAATTAATCACATTTGCTGATATTTTTGATCAAACAAACTTACGACTACATTTCTTGTCATTTTCACAATCTTTCCAACGATAAGTGAGTATACATAGAGATCACATGTTGCACATCATTGACAAAGTTTGATATGCTCAGCTTCAGAAATTAGCTGCTGTGATTTGTTTCTACCGAACACAAGTGTTTCGTATAGACATGAATCTAATCATATATCTATGGCTGACTATACAACGGCTTCGGCTGAAGGTAGGGCTCCTTTGGTGTATGTAAGCATTCCTGCACCGGTAGAGTTTTGCCCCCGACATTGATAGTGTTGAGATGCTATCCCTAAAGAACAATATTGCAGGTTTCATGCATATTTACATGCATATTTCTTACATGTGTTTCGTACAGAAAACGAAGTCAAATTTGCCTAAGCTTTGTATGTATGTTAATACGTCTGTAATATCTCCGCTTGACTAAGAGTATACACTGCTATTCTCTAGCTCGAAGAGTGCTGAGATTTCGCCGTTTAATACGGTGAAGAACGAGTTTGCAGATATATGTCATTCACATCCGTAGTATTACATTTTGTCTAGTGGTGAACGCGTAATGGTTCCTAATTGATTATTGCGGATTCATATCTCTCAATGGACAAAGTTTAACTACACAGTATTCAGGGTTCACTGTGGGGTACCTACCCAATATCTACGTCCTCTTGACCTTTCTTATGGTTTACTGACCAGATTGTACATGTGTAGAGAAGATTACAAAAACACAATATATTACATCAGGTATTGAGTTCACTACTCTATATCACCTCTAGGGCTACTAATTGTAACCTGACTTTTATAGATCATTGAACTACTACCATCAAGTCTATAGTCAATATGTATGACCAGGACAGAAACTGTGGCCATTATCACAATACTGATAACGCCATCCAGACGGTGTAATTTCAACACTCCCATCCACCGTGAATTTTGAATGTGCTTTGTCGCCAACTTGGTCTTGATATCCGTTAACTCGCGCGGAAACCTCAGCATCTTGGTACCCAGTGCCGTCGTCAGCATATCTGCAAGTTAATTTCTCGTACCGATACAGTCAACTGGAGTAATACATGCTGAACGTAGCTCAAATAAAGTGGTGCTTGATGTTCACGTGCATTGCCCGAATGTGGTAGCATGAGTTGCTCGCCAATGCTATAGCCACTTGGTTGTCTTTCCACATTCGCGTGCCATCCACTTGTTCGAGTCTCATGCCCTTGGGTGTTGTGCGCAACCAAAAGACTTCTTGTGTACATAAGCTGAGAACCGTTGATTCGGCTTTTGCGGAGCTCAGCGCGGCGGTCATCTGGCGCTCAGGCTTGAAATCAACCGGAACAGTACTTAGATTTATCAAAACATCTGATACAGAGCGTCTGTCATGAGTGCTGCTGCCTCAGTCTAAATCCAAAAAAATTTGCCCACCGCCTTTCCAGTTTTACCTTGGTGAATGATCTCGTGATAACGAGTCAACATCAGGCAGCGTAGTACATGAAAAGCTAACCCGGAATTCTTGCAAAAACAAGACCGTCGTGTGGTAACAAATGCGATGTCCAAACAAGTGCACATTGCAATATACAGCAGACAGCCAATTGGCGGGCGTATTGTCTTAAGTGCATCGTTAAACGCTAAGAATATGTACTGGATGATCGTGATGTTAGCAAAGCAAGATCAAACGCACAAGAAATATTGATGTTCTCGGCACATTTCTGGCCAAATCGCTCAACCACGTCGTCAATTTTGTACGTCTGTTTGATCATTACAGCTGCCGATATCCTTTCGTGATCGATTTCCGTGCCAAAGATGAGTTTCGCCATGACGATATCATTTAACTTGAGACCAAAATTGAGCATCCACTTGATCTAAAAGATCTCACGATTTGTCTAGCCTGCAATGATCATATCATAAACATAAAGACATACGTACGCAAACACTGATTTAAGTTTCTTCACTCAAATGCATTGATCTACTCCGCAGCTTTTTATACCGGTTTTCTCATAGACATGATAAATCGCCTTGTTCCACGCACTTGCATCTCGCTTTAGCTCATAAACGGCCTTGTTCAGCTAACATGCAAAGCCTTGAGCTCCCTTGACATCAAGCGTAATCTCCATGTAAACACGATCCGACAAAACACTGTCGAGATAGGTGGTGTCGACGTCCAGCTGTTGCGTTTTGTAGCCAGATACCGCACAAACTGCCAGTACAGTTCAATTTTAATTCATGTTGGCCCTTGGGGAGTAAATATCAAAGAAAATCACGCTGTACTTTTGCTGAAAGACCATAGCCACTAAGCGTGTTTTGTAATCACCACACTGCCATTTTGGTCTCGTTAATCAGCAAAGACCCAGCGGCATTCAGTCGCACGATCAAATTACCAATGAGGAATGAACGTTTATGTATTGTTTGGTGGTGTGATCGAAATCCGGTATTCATAGCCTTGAACTACTGTCTTCTCTTATCACTTGCCATTTGCTTCTTCACCAATATTTACAGCGTAAGTGAAGACTGCCTCGGCTATAACGCCATTCTCGTCAATCCTATCACGCTCTGGGGGGGTTGTCACTTCCTTTCAAATTTCTTCGTTATCTGATCGATTTTCTAACATCAACATTGGTCAACACGCATGCCGTGGCGCTCAGTTTAAGGTTGTAAATTCAATTGGTATTCCTGCTTCATTTCATCAGGAGCTCGTATACCAATCCCTCTTTCGGTATATTTTGTACTGGGGCTCTGTACTCTGCTAGGTCGGAGTGCACGGAGGGCGGTAAATAGATCGCCCCAACCCAACGATGATGACGTTTCGGGCCTTTCTTTCTCCAATTTAGCGTCTGAACCATCTACTTTTTATTCTTCACACTTTTTAGGCTCGTTCTGATCTTTCTCGCGTTTGTCGTCCCGGGTGTTGCGCCTTTATCGTCGTTCTTGGTCACGTGTATTATTGTTTCTTTGCTTGAAAGGTGTGATTCGTAAATATCGCCCATCTCACGCTCGTCGACCATGATAGTAGTACTTGATCGTCATCCAGGTAGCACGAGTTATCCCTTGGCGTCTTTGGCATACCCAAAAAGACATGCACATAAAGTTCTTAGCCTTGAGCTTCGTCTTCTTCACATTATAAACGTGTGCGTACCCGCGAGGCCCGACTACCCAAAAGTGATTCCTTCCAAGATTTTACGTAAAACGCCAACTCATACGGGGATATTGTTCAGGTGCTTTGTGTTTAGGAACAATTGACCAGGTACTCTGCAGTGCCGACCGCCACTACCTACCAACAGGTCGGAACACACTCATTGTGGAGCATGCATCGCAGTAAACACTACCGTAATACTTATGACGTCTTCCAAGCGCATCTAGCGGTGTATCTCAGCAAATAGCTAGTCAGGGCTTTCTTCTTACTGTTCATGTTATGCAAGCTTGTCAATTCTCGTGGCGATGAATGTGGCCCGAAAATTGATCGTGGATTTTTCAATCGATTAAACGTGCCATATTTAGTCGACTACCGTCAAAAATGTAAAGCGGTATGTCTTCTTTGAGTGGTACTCCAACGTCTGTCCAACTACTCCAAACCAACCTTGTCATTAACAATACGCATTAAAAAATTGAGTTTATTCTTGACTTTACTCGACATCGTGCTTATACACAAAAAGTATCTGCAACCGTGAGCCTTGTGCATTTATATGTTAATGGCTGGTCGCCCCATCTAATCCACAGCTACAGTGTCACATAATTTGTGGTGCTGGACACTCATTATATTCAAAAAGGCGAAAAGTGTGGCACTGGAATTCTGAAAATTCTGACTCTTGACTATTTGATCCAGGGTACTGTATATTTTTTGATATGATGGCAAAAACCGAAAATAATATATTTGGGATATTTCGCTACACTGTGCTACCTTTAAGCCTGTCTTTCTAGATCCGTCTAGTAGCTTCTTAATTCATTCTCATTTATCTAGACCAGTGATCAACTACCATTACTTCCGAAATCAGCATCCGTAATTGTCGACATTACCATAGTCTTTGTGACGTCATCCACATGGATTTAGCGGTGTAAACTTAAGCCTCCCACTCACCGCTAATGTTGGATGTGCTTTGTCGTTGGTTTGGCCTTGAAGCCTGTTGCCTCCCGCTGAAACTTGAGCATCTTGGTCCCAAGTGCCTTGGTTAGCCTATCTGCAAGCTGACTCTTCGTATCGATGTAGCCAATTTCGGGTATTCCATGCTGAGCATTCTCCCGAATAAAGTGATGTCTGGTGTCCACGTACTTTGCACGAGCGTGGTAGCCCGCGTTGCTTGCTAACGCTATCGCACCTTGATTGTCTTACCTTTTTGCGTGCCTCACACTTGTTCCTGACTCTTGTCCTTGAGCATTGCGCGCGACCAAAGTACTTTTTGTGTGCTCGACCTTAGCGCCATATACTCTGCTTCTGCGGAATTTAGTGTGCCGGCTCTCTGATACTTAGACTTATCACAACCAGAGCTTTTCCAACATTGATCAACACACCCGAGACAGACCGTCTGTCATCGTTGTTGCTACCCCAGTGTGCATCCGAAAAAGCTCTAAACAATCACATTCCGTGTAAACGATTTCTTGATGACGTGTCGAGTTTAAGTAGCGTAGTACACTAAATGCGGCGTTCCAATGTTGTAAACCGGGATTCCTGAGAAATCGAGGCAGTTGTGTAATGATATGTGCAATGTCCGGCCGGGTGCAAGTTGTAATATACAGCAAACATCTAATTAGTGAGCGGTATGGTCCTGACCTTATCTCCGAACGCTCATCTTTTACACTTTGTGACCGCGATATTAACAACTTGAGACCAGACGAACATGATTCGTCGACGTCCTCAGCGTTTTTCTGTCCAAATCGCTCAGCAACCTCGCTAATAAAGCGTGTCTGCTTGTTCATTTGTGTGGAAGCTGTCCTGTCGAGGTCAATTTCCATGGCCAAGATGACCTTCGCCATACCGAGATCCTCCGTCTTGAAAACACTTTTCAGCATCCCCTTGACCTCTAGAATCTCGCTGCTCGTCTTGGCCGCAATGATCAATCATCGACATATAGACATACGTACACAAAAACTTCTTTTGCTTTCATCACATATAACTTTAAATCGCTCTTCTTGAGTCTTGGTCGATTGTCTTGTTCCAAGCACTTGTAGATTGCTTGACTCCATATATAGCTTTGCACAGTTGACACGTAAATCCTAGAGCTCCCTCAACACCGATCGGAACCCCCATGTTAGCACGATCCGACAGCACACTGTTGTGAATGGCGGTGTCGACGTCCAGCTGCTCCATTTTATAGCCTAATACCGCACTCACTGCGAGTACAACTCGGATTGAGTTAATGTTGACCATTAGAGGTAAGTCTTGAGGGAATCCACGCCTTATTTCTGCTTGAAACCTTTAGCCACCAATCGTGCTTGGTAGCGCACAACACATCCATTCTGGTCACGCCTCTTAGCAAAGGCTCAGCAGCAAACTTACGTCCTTTTTATTCTCGTGAAACGAGTGTTCATGTTCTGTTTTGACGATGCGTCTGCACTTCGGCGTCCATCTCATGTCGCTAATGTTCTGCTTCGTCACTAGCCGTTGCCTGCGCATTCGTGGTAGGCAAGTCCGATTCTTAATCAACCCTTACAGCGTAATCGAGAACATAGTGACGTTTTTCAATTCTATTTGTTTGAGAGGGTACGTCTCATAAAAGCCGCCTTCTTACGCTCGTTCATCTTCACCGACCGTGATGCTGATATCTTGTCTTTCTCCAAATCGTAAACTTGGCGGCTTCGGCATAACCAAGTAGAATACACTTAAACCTTTCGGCTTCGAGCTTCTTCCGCTTCACTTGATCAACGTGAGCATTCTCATGAGACCCAAGCACTTTCAGTCCATCCGACGCTTCATCTTAACCCCAGCTCATACGGGGTATTATTAGGTGCACTGTATTGGGATAGCAGTTTTGAAGTCTTGATCATGTCGACAACTTTACTCTTCTTCACCAGAAAGAAAGCCAACACATTCGTGAAGAATCATGCACAAGAGTTAAAGTGTATTTAGCACCTCTTTTGAAAGCGTCTTGGTCCCATCACGTCCGTGTGAGCTAATTCCAATACACGTGACGTCTTTGTCACAATATATCATGGAAAGGCTTCAATCTTCCGCTTGCCCTTCATGCGTCCACCACACAAGATCTTGATACCTTGTTTCAGCGCACGTATACCTTTGAACGAGCGTGCCACAGTACCCACTGACTATCAGCTTCCGAGTATTGCACCGATCGTGCATCCTCTTGCTGACCTTTTAGTGTGGCAGCTTTCCATTTCTTGTCCTAGTTGCCAAAGCATAGTTCTTGTCTCAAATGGCGCACGTGGCACGCTGGAACTCCACGCTTAGTCCACGTTCGGCAAGCTTTGCCAACGACAGTAAGCGTCTGTCAAATCCATGGGTAAGCAGCACCTCTTCCATCGATATGCGTCTTTCGTCTAAGCCGATAAGCTTCAATGTTTCAGCTCTTTCGACGCAAAACTTCTTGCCGTTTGCAATCGTTGCGTTGACGTCGGCTTTAAGTCACATGAAGTCGATTAAGTCACTTCGGTGAGGGGTCATGTGTGATGTCACACAACTGTCAATTAGCCAGCTTGCTTATTGTTCCTCCCCCACGGTAAATACTGCATCATTTCCGCTGAAACGGTTTCTGGAGCGGTTCTCATGTGGACAGTCCGGTCTCTTATGACCAGTCTGGTCACAATAAAAGCACTTGCCCCGAAAACCACCGTTCTTGCGTGGCGCGTAATTTTTGGGACCACTTCCTCGTCTGCCCTTAATCCCTCCATCATTGCCTGTGTTGCGAAACGCTTTCTCACTCGCTTTCTTCTTCGTAACCTCTCTGACTCCTACAACAGCATCTCCTTGACTTCGATCAGAGTGATGTCCTTGGCTTTTTTACGATAGAAGAAGTCATCTCATATTTCACCGGCAAAACCAAAGCTTCAGGGTTTTCAACTTGGAGTTGCAGAAGATCAAACTGGTAAGGTTCCTTTAAATTAACGAGCGTGAAACACGATATTGGGAAGACGTACGGCCCGATTGTGATCAATGCAAAGAGCGATGTTAAGATTTACTTGGACAGTGAAGAATCAAAGCCTCACCATCATCAATTTTCCCCCATGATTGACAAGTCGATGCTGCCAGTTTAAGAGCACGGCGAAGACTTAACGATGCGTGGGGTTGATGTCGATCCGTTGGTAACCGGTCTGGAGTATTCAGTATTCCGTAGAGCGAGATGACCGGTAATGAGCAGGAAAATGGTGTACCGTCCGCAAATAAGCGAGGACATCGGGAACACAATAAGATCATGCTTTTTGGGTAACAGAAGTACGAATTACAGATCGACAGATCCCTACTCAAATGATATTGAAGCTATTGATGAAGATGATAACTATGACCATAAAATGACGGGACACTTCTGACCTTCGTCGCCTAAAAGACCACGCATAGATGAAGACGGTCTGATAGCTGGAGCCGGTGACCACTTGGTTATCGGGTTGGGGCTTAACATTTGCACCAGGGGAACCCTTCTCAAAATTGTCTAGTGATTAAGGTGCAGTGGTACGCCCCACTTTGATTGAAGGTCCATTTATGTTATCATCTTTGCGCAGAGGCCTCAGAATCCCTCAATGACCACCGATGGGTTAAAAATAAAGTAAAAATTACATAGTTCGATTATACTGCGTTTAGTTTTTACTGGGGGGTGATTAACCAATACGTACGCCCCATCGTCCTTTCAATGGTTTAACTGATCAAATCGTACATCACAATGGCAGAGTAATTTGATATAGATATGGCAACGTAAGGATGAACTAGACATTGATAAATTTTCCAATATAGAATTTACCACCAAACTAAAAGCTCAAAACATTTCACTTGTTAAAATTGACATAACATGAAAAAGTTACCTGTATGTACAGGCTTATGAACTTACTAATCTTGGCCTGATTGTTGAAGGGGTGTGTAGAATTAACACACCTCCGCCTATTTAGTATTAATCGTAAAACTTTCGAGACTGAGACTTCCCAATAAACAGCATACCCAAAATATGGTAATATGGTACCAAATCTTCCTTTTTGTTAGCACTTACAGAAGTCCAGCAGAAGACAAGAATTTCTTTTCTCTCACTTCATTTTTACTTTTGCCAGCAGGAAATGCGTTTTTCGACTCACTTAAACTTCCGCGATGAGCTAAGTAGATATTTTGTATCAGTATCTATCGATAAAAACATGCCATATCAGGCGATGTGATACTGATAATCACCACCAACACGGAAACGGAAAATGTTTTTGCCCATGCCATCTTCTAAGAAATTAACAAAGTTGAGTGGTCCACCAGCGTCTAATTGATCAAATTACTCGTGTCACTCACACTACGTCAGGTCCTCAAATCGTACACAGTTGTCGTTAGGTTCTTCTATCATTCAATGCAAGAAGTTGTAAATCGACAAGGCACGTATGGTTAAAGGAGACAAGAATGTATGAAAATTAAGGTAAATGTACCGATTATTTTAGACACCAGTTGCTGTTAAGACACGGTCGACGCCTCCAAGATTTAAGTCGACGTAAGCTGTTCTGAATCACATTGTTATCGATCAGCTGAGTCGGATCGTCTTGCACCGTTTCTCCGATGATGTCAAGTTTTTCAGCCGCCTGCAAGACACTCAGGTCTGGAACCATTGATGGGACAGCACTTAAGTCGCGGGGGTTCGTACCAGCTGAGTATTATCCGTACTCGATGGGGCTAGTGTAAAATTCTGAATCCACGAAGCATCGATGTTAGTTGGGGTCAGCTGGGCAGCATCATCTTTCGATGGAGCAGGACTTGAATCCTGAACCCATGGGGCGTCACCATTGTTCGGTAAATTTAGGGGTATGCCTTGGTTTGTGGCATCCAAAGCAGGGCTCGGAACGGATGTAGAAGTAACAGAATCTAACGGGGTACCGCTAATATTCTGACCCATTTGGGAAAGACCAGACTTCTCAGGTGGATATTGAGTTACTCCGCCGTCCTCCGTCGAATTTGCCTTCTCAATTGTTTTCATCCCAAGCTCATCAACCGAGTACCCTTGATCCCACAACTTCTGAAAGT